GTAGATGATGAACTGTCTCCTGGCTTTGCCCTCCCATCCCAAGGGAATCCAACCCTGAGGATGGCCCAGGACAAACCAGGTGGGCTCAGACCCCTCTGGATCCCATTCCAGCCTTTCCAGCCCCATTCCCAGCTTCCCAAACCAGGGAATAGTAGGTGAACTGTCTCCTGGCTTTGCCCTCCCATCCCAACAGAAACAAACCCCGAGGATGGCCCAGGACAAACCAAGAGGACTCAGACCCCTCTGGATCCCATTCCAGCCTTTCCAGCCCCATTCCCTGCTTCCCAAGGCCCCACCCACCAGGGAGTAGATGAACTGCCTCCTGGGCTTTCCCGTTCCCCACACGGTCAGAGCGGAGCCGGATTCTGCGGGAGGAAGGAGCGCGGCCGTCACCACCTCGCAGAGCAGGTGGAGAGTTAGAAAACCCCTCCCAACCCCTCCTCCTTCCCAAAAAAAAACCCCCCAGGAGTCCTGCCACCCTCACGTTTGGCCAGGTGGACCTTGTGGATGAGCCCCGGCAGGACGTGGCCGTCCTCGATGTTGAAGTTGTCGTGCGGCCCGAAGACGTTGGTGGGAATGACGGCGGTGAAGCGCCGGCCGTGCTGCTCGGAATAACCCCTGGATGGCAGCAGGGATGGGATGTCAGGCACTGGAACGGCCCCACAAGACCCCAAGCCAGCAGCACCTTCACCCGCCGATCCCAGGTATCTCTCCCCAGCTTCCACCCCGGCGCCGTTTAAATCCCGGGAATCCCACAGGATTCCCGTTGCCTTGATAACCAAGGGGTGCTTCCACCCTGGGAAGGGGCTCCCATGTGTCCCTCCCTCACCTATTCTGGATGTCAATCATCCTCTTGGCGTAGGAGTAGCCGAAGTTGGAGCTGTGGGGGGGCCCGTTGTGGATCTGGGAATACGGGAGCGGAGGGTTAAGCGGGGAAGGGACGTTCCCTGGAACGTCGTGCGGGGACGGGAGCGCTCACCATGGTCTCGTCGATGGGATACGTGGTCTTGTCTGGGAAGATGCAGGTGGAGAGGCAGGAGACCACCTTCTCCACCCCCATCTCGTGGGCCGAGTGCAGGACGTTGTCGTTGATGTGGATGTTTGTCCTCTGGGAAAAGGAGAGATTTGTCGGGATTGTGGGATGGAGATTCCTCAAATCCCTTCGTCGCCCGGTGAGCGA